GAAATAAGTCAGTCAGAGAAAGATAAATATCACATGATTTCACTCATTTGTGGAATATAATGAACAACATAAACTGATGAACAAAATCAGATCCAGAGACAGAGAAGCATAGATCACACCATCAAAACGCAGAGAGAAGGGGAAGATGGGGGGAAGGGGGAGAGATCAACCAAATGACCTGTATGCAGCATATAAGCATAACCAATGGACACAGACACCAGAGGGGTGAGGGCATGAGCAGGGAGGTGGGGGGATAAGCGGGGGATAAGGACACCTATGTAATACCTTAATCAATAAAGAAAATTTTTAAAAAAGAAGTATCTGAGACCACCAACCACTCAATTTTCCTTTCCTTTAGCTTCCATGACACTACATACTTCCCTATTTTTCCTATTTCTTTGATTCTTCTTTCTCAATCCCCTTTTCTGAACTTTGTATTTCCTCTTAACTTTAGCACTTTCAAGGTCCTGTTTTAGGCTCTTTCCCCCACTCCCCCTTCTCATGTTTCCCTAGGGGACATTTTATTAACTCCAATGGCAGTTAAGCTGCCTCCCATATCTACCTCTCTAGCACACTCCTCTTTAGAGTTCCAAACTCAAATAATCATCTTCTAACTTAAGGTGTCCACTTGGCTAACTAATATACACTTCTAAACTAAAATCACTCTTCCACTCCACCCCTGACATCATCATTTACCCAGTGTCTCTCAAGACACTTCTCTTGCTCTGGCTCCAATGTGCTATCAGTCATTACCAAGTCCTTTGCTGATATGTCCAATTATTTCTCAAATACATATTTTTCCCACAAGCCCACAGCCAGGTCACCATTAGCTCTTCCCTGGGTTTCCTAACTGCTTCCTGTGCATTCAAAATAATGTTTTAACAATCCTATCTAATAAGAGTAATATGCAAATTAATCATCACTCCGACACAAAGATGGTGGTGCCCATAGCAACAAGATGGCAGCGCCCAGTCCTCTCAGCCCCGCTGGAGTCCTCTATTCCCGGGGGCAGCCGCTGAGGGCAGGGTCCACTTGGCTGTCGCCTGCAGTGACCCGGGAGTGGCCAAGCGGGCCCCACAAACCATGCACAGCAGGGCCCACTTGGCCGTCGCCCATGGAGACCCGTGAGCGGCCAAGTGGGCCCCGCAGACAGCAGAGAACCATGGGGAGCGGGCCTAAGCCGTCAGTAGGACATTCCCTGAGGGCTCCCGGATTGGAGAGGGTGCAGGTTGGGCTGATGGAAACCTCCCCCCATCCCCACTGTGCACAAATTTCATGCACCGGCCTCTAGTATCAAATATGCAGTCAGTGTCCATAATTTTAATTACCTTATATATTTTTTGTGTGTTGAAAAGTTTGACTTTGACTCAGGGTCCAAATCAGGCCCAACATTACAATTGGTTTATATGTCTCTTAACTACATTTGAATCTATGAAGTCCTTCTGTATATCTTTTTCTATGCATTTTTCTGGAAACACACACACCAGATTCTTTGTCCTATAGTTTCCCATATATGATTTTACTAATTTTATCCCTCTTTTGTCATTTAACATGCTCTGTCCCTTATATTTCCTATAAATTGGTAGTTAGATCTAGAGGTGTGATCAGGTTGATGTTAAAAAAAAAATTTGTGTGTGTGGAGGGATTAGGACTACTTCAGAGGTAGTGCTGCGTAATTCCATCAGGAGGTATATAAATATTTGTTTTCTCTCCAGTTAAAATGCTATAAGCCATGAATAATCACTACCTATAATTAATAAATCCATCGATTCATTAAGGGTCCCCTACATCCATTGTTATTCTTCCCTGATAAAATTCCACACATTTCATGGTCTTTATAAAATGCTAATCATATCTGGTCACTACTACCTCTTTAAACCTTTCAGTGGATTCTCAATGTCCTTAAAATAAAGTCTAGAACCTTTACAATGGCTTCTGAAGGCCCTCCATGATCTGACTTCTGCCTATCCTTCAGTTTTCACCTTATCTCATTCCCAACACTCTTGCTGTACTAAAATTTTCAGTTCCTTCAATGTCCTTCTCTTTACCCTATACTCTTCTTAGACTACTTCTCTAGCATAGGCAAATGCACAGCTTTAGTTAACTAATTCCATTCACCCTTCAAGTGCTGGTTTAAACAACTCCCTAGTAAAGTGCCTTAAGCCTATACACCAAGTTAAATTCTCATGCCAAATATGTCCACAACATACTTGACGTCCCTTTCACCACACTTCTAATGAAATGTCCAATGACTTTCTTTCCTCATGCATTGTAAGTGAAACCAGATATCACTATCTTGATCACTGCTATACCTAAACAGCACAGGTATTTAATAATTGCCTGCATTAAACTGAAATTGAAAACCATCTTTCTATGGATATTGATAATATCCCTTTAAAACTATTATTTTAAAATAGTTAAAATTTGCAAATATTTTAGATCAGTGATCACCAACCTTTCAGAACTCACAGACCACCAGTTGGCGACTGCTGTTTTAGATTATAAACACTAATAAAGCATAATGAAAATATAAAATGCTCAACAAAACATTAATTAAAAAGACACACAAAAATAATTACATGCCAATTTAGAATAAACATAACTTCTCTAGAAGCTCTTAGACTTTATCAGTTTTTTTTCTATAATCTATTTAAAAATCTCTTCTTTGAAGAACCAAAAAGCAGCAAATAATGTTTTTGTTGCTGATGTTGTTTTAAACTCTTACTTTTATGAAGAGGAAGGGGTTTAATAAGATCTGGCTGTGCTTGAGTCATAGGTATAGGTGGTCCTTTTCCTCCAATATGATTGTTCACAACTGGATTCTGTTGTCTGCCTCTCAGCAGTGGAGACATACAGCGACGTCTTTTAGGGATCCCTTGCATATTTGGTTCTCCAGGTCGTTTATGTTTATTTTGAGGTCCAGCCACAAATTCATCTGCTTCATCTATCATCATACCCTATAATAAAATACATAATTTCCTTGGATTTATATTCAGTTTTTAAATGGCACAACTAATTCTAATATCCATAAAAACAACTCTATTTAACTATGTTGACATTTATTACGTACTCTACCAGGAAAATAGCTTTAGCTTACTTTAAATTCACAGTACCTAGCACAAACAAATTATATAATGGAATATTTCAAATTTACCTTTTTGTCCAGCTTAAAAGGGTTGCCAAATGTATGTAACCTTCGAGGCTGATCAGGATCAAGTTCTCTTAGTGGAGAAGGTACTTGCTTGAGATATTCCTGGTAATTCCCCATTTGTGCTATAGGAACACTGTGTACTTGATCTTTTCGAACAAAATAAAGCAACAACAAAAGTTAACCTTATTAACACCTGTTCTAGTTATCACGTATCTTCTTATATATGAACTAGAGGCCTGATGCACGAAATTCGTGCAAGAGTAAGCCTTCCTCTTCCTCTTCCT